ATGTCATTATTTGGTTTAGTTGGTACATGAGAGGGCCATGAACTTGGAAGTCATTGTTTGCGGATCCAAGATTTCAAGAAAATTGGTGCACTATTATAAAGATCTGAATTTAAAATTGATATTTGACAAGTTCAACCTTTAGGTTCTTACCATGAATCTATTATCATTTAGAAATTATAGGTTAAAATTTAAAATAATTTCCTGCAATTTTAGTGATTTTTAATAGGGAAAAGGCTCAAAACTGCCCTCGTGGTCTTCGAAATGGCTTATATGTACCCTCCATTTGAAAATGAGGTCACGTGTAACCTTGCCGTTAAACAAGTGGTCCACTGATACCTTTCTCGACTAACGGCTCCGTTTTGGGCCCTTTGTTTTTCCTCAAAAAATTCATACCACGACACGTGTCCTCCGAAATAATACTTCTTGAAAGATGTTACCCACCTTCCGTTGATTATTACAACCCCCCCCCCCCTCTATTTATGTCTATTATGTCCCGTTAAATTATATTACATGTAATTTCACTTGCAAATATTTAGGTCTCATTAATTATCAAGATAAAGTAACCAGTGCCGAGCCCGAATTGAGTGTCAAAATATAAATAATTAGATATATCGAAAAATCAAAGGGAGTCAACGTATAGTAAATATACATAAAATAAAAAAAGATTATCTAGCAATATGGTGTAATTTTTCGACGAAGGAGTATCGCTTGACACCCCTTGGTTCAATGTGGCTTCGCCATTGAAAGTGACTCTGCTTCGACAACAATGAAAGACTAATGAATGGTAATTTTTGTGGTGAAGTATTGTTTGGGGTGTGATGCGGATGGGCTAAAGGGGGTGGAAAAATGGGGTAAAATAAGTGAGAGGGCATGTAAAAAAAAATGAGGGTGGTTTTGGAGGACACATGTCGTGATGTGAATTTTTTGAGGAAAAACAAAGGGCCCAGCCGTTAGTCGAGAAGGGTATCAATGGACCACTTGTTTAATGGCAAGGTTACACGTGACCTCATTTTCAAACGAAGGGTACATATAAGCCATTTCGAAGACCACGATGACAATTTTGAGCCTTTTCCCTTTTTAATATAAACACTTATACTCCATATCAAAAATGTTGGAATCATTGAACCATGCTATATCATCTGTTATTGTTACTTTTAATTATATAAAATTTTGCGATGACAAAAGGAGATCATGGATTGCGATAATGTATTAGATATGGGAATTTTGAATGAATAAATCAACTAAAAAAGAAAGAAGAAAAAAAGAAATACTTAATTAAAATACAAGAGGGACACTGAAGATGCCTACAAACTGTATGTTTGAACCTCTAATTTCACTTGTAAAAGTGTATTCAATAATCATTACTCCATAGGACTCTTTGAACTTGGGTACACACATGTGTATTTAAAGAATTTTTAAGAAGTATAACATTATCATAAATAGTATCGAGAGAGGAGCATAGGTTCACCTACCCCATGCTCAACACATAGATATGCCCCTGGTTTAGACTTAGGGGTCGTTTGATTGGGAAATAAGTTAACTCATGATTAATTATCTCGTGATTAGTTATTCGGGGATTAGTTATTCTACCCTCCAACGAGGATAAAAAATACTGCAATCCGAGAATAACTAATCATGAGATTAGTTATACCACGATTTTATCTCAACCAAACGTGAAATAAATTCATCTCAAATTTAATTCCGGGATTAATTATCTCTTATTTCTCGTACCAAACGAGTCCTTGCAGATCAAACTGGTTTATACACAAATGGAGATTTTAAACTATATTTTTGCTGGCTTTTGTCAACTCTTATTCTTGGCCTTTGGAAGATCAATGAGTCGGCTTACTATTTTTTTTTTTTTTTTTTTTTTTTTTTTTTTTTTTTTTTTTTACCTATACCTTTAATAGGCGCAAATAAAATACGCACTTTAACACAAATAGAAAAGGGCCGAATTGAGTGGTGAGTGTTTTTTAGCCTCTTTTTAAAAGGCACTCATGTGGAGCTAGCATGGCTTACTATCACTGTCTAGCTGGAGATGTTAGGATTAAGGGAGTTCAAGTTCAAATTTCGTTGAAGATATAACCTTTGTTTTACTTTGTATATTTCCTAATATTCTTCTACCTAGCAAAAATATTTCTAGCAATAATATGTCTTCAATAATTTTTTTCAAATGATTCAACATAATGATCATGATAAGAGCTTTTCTGGAAACACAAGGGAACAACATATAACAATAGTTGTGGCCAGTGGCCAGTGGCCATGTGGCAAGATTTTCTTACTAATAAATCATATCTAAATTTAAAAAAAAATAGTGAATAGTTGTTGATCAGAATGGATATGTAGATATGACACTTCAAATTATTACACTTGGGAATATGTTGATAATCTGAGAGAATATCTCATGCTGTCAAATTAACACTTCTTTTCCTAAAGTACTTGTCTGTTTCTGTTTTGAAAAAAAATAATCTCATTGTTATTCCGTTTAAAAGTGGTATTTACATTTCGTTTATATAACGAAAAAGTTACGGCGAATATTTTTGTTTTTCTCTTTTTTGCAACACAATTTAATCTTTATTGTAAAAACATAAAAAAAAAAAATCCAAAACTTTCAACTTAATTCAACTTCACGTACATATATATTTTTTTCTTCAACTCAAATAATAACCAAAGACCTTCTAAGCCAATCAATGAACAAGGTATGCATGGGACATGGTATGCTCATCTTTCAAGCGCTACGCTTGTTTACCCGTAAAATGATACAGTTGAATTTATACGTGGTTTATAGACAAGTGAATCAATTTGATCCCATAATGATAAATAAATTAAATAAAAATATAAGACTTAGCGTAAAGATTGAGATAAGACAACATAAATCTTGGTTCCTGGAGCAGAGCTTCCGGAGGCAGTAGTAACAATATTAATAAGCAATAAGATTAAATATTATTGAGCTTTGAGCAGTATATAACGTAAGCTTGTCAGAAAATTCGTGTCCTACAATGGTTGTTGAGCTCATTATTTATAGTTCTTCCTAGGGAGCAAAGTCCTAGGATCAAGTCCCTTTTAAATGACAATTATGGGGGCCATTGAAGAATGTGTAACGGTAGGTAATGAATTCCATATTCTCTGTAACGGACTACGTATTTAATGCTATAAAATATTCTCCATTAAATGCTACCGGGTGGTAGGCAATTAACAACATTCCCTTCGGGAACAAACGAGATTGCTGCCTTCAGACCTGATTTCCATTTGTCTTGCTTTCCATCTGCCTTCGGCTTCACGTGTCACTTTATTATGTGAGCATTTAATATGAACATATTTTACCCTATATAGAGAGTCCCCCTGCTTTTCGGTGGCACATCTTTGTGTCACCGGAAAGTTGGTGAAGATACCTTTCTTGGCAAAAAATTCTCTGACCCCCTCTGAAAAGTTTCTGACGGTTGATTAGACGTATGTCTATCTGCATTTAATGCCCCGAACACGCGTCATCCCATGATTCAGCAACAGTTTCACCGGCTCTCGAGGTAATTATGGCCATGATTTTAGCCGCATATTCCTTTACTTATACGCCTCAATCTTCTCCTTTTACACTTCATAATTTTCTAAACTCTTTTTACTCAACTCACACTTGTTTTCAACTTCCTTTAATCCTTTTCTTCAGAGAAAAAACTATTACTTCTTTTTGATAACAATGGCCTCCTCTTCCAGAAATTCCAGTGCTTCAAAGAATAAAGAAAACACTGATGATGTTGCTCTTCCTATGGTGAACACCATTATCCCCAGAAGGCTTACTACAACTAAAGACTTCGAAGAGAAGTACCCTTCTGCTAACCCCCGCATATGGGTGCTGGTGTATATCCTTCTTCCATCCGTCCTTCTAGCATCCCTGTTGTGAAGGAAGACTGTGGTTGGCAAGATTTGAACATCATCGCTCCTGACCTAGCGGAGCGGGTAACCTTCTCCAAGAAGGGATTTGTGTATGTTTATACGTACCCCTTCACTCCGGGTCCATTCTCATTGATCGGGGGACTTGACTCCGTTATCTTGGAGTTTTGCTTCCGTTACCACGTCTTCTTGGCACAGGTGATCCCTTATGTGTGGCGAATGGTCGCATGTCTTCAGCGTCTATGTCAGGAGACGGGGGAAGAGCTATCCCTGGCTCGACTGATGAACCTTTATTCCCCCAAGATTTTTTGTGAAGGAATGATAAACTTTAGCAAACATGGTCACCATGCTTTACTCACCAGTATGGATGATGAAAACGACCGTCGATGGATGGAACGGTTCATTGCAGTTGCCACCAGGGACATCATCCCGGCTACAACTCCATCCTTTCCTGAATCATGGAACTGTACTCATAAGTTCAACGTCTATCTTCTCTTCTAGTTAAAGATCGTCCCATGCTATTACTGATCCTTCTTCTTTAACTATTTTAGAAACTTGGTGGACACCACCAAGGGTTGAAAGCTTGGACCAGTGGGTCCAGAAAAATTTGGATGTCACTATTCTTGAGACCCGCAAGTGGAAAGAACTGACCCTTAAATATGGGTGGAAGATGAAAAATCATGGTAGGTTGAACTTATCTTGTTTTTTACTTTTCGTATAGGAAAATTGGTTAACTTTTCTTTTCTGTTGAATTCTAGTCTTCCGCAGGGCTCTGTTACCGTCCCCGAGGTGGACGTTTTGGCCGATCCTGCTGATGTGGTGAGGTTGCTGCAGGAGGCTTTCACCCAAATGTGTGTCATCGGGCCTGCTTCCGGTGCAAGTGCTTCTTCTCGGAGTTTCCGGCCAGAACAAGCGACAAAAAATGCAACGTTTGTCTATAGTCGAGGGCAAAAATAAAAAAGCGAAGAACGCAGCGCTCGAGCCAGCCGTAGACACTGTGGTAATCGATGATGATAGAGGAGCCAGTGATGATGGGGCTTCTCTACATAGAAGAATATGACCTTCATCAGCTCAACAAAATGCTTAATCTGTCGAGCTAGTTACGCCAACCGAGGATGACGTCCCGACGCTCTGGGGAATATGATATAGTGGAAGATGCTAACTCCTGCTTCCGAGTCCCAGTCGATGTTCTCTGTAACGTGAGGCTGGGTACCGGGTCTCTTCCATCTTTGGTTGATGTGCAACTAACAACTAGCACTGCTTTTGCCACAACTGTTTCTCAACCTACAATGCCATTAGCTTCATATCCTTCTTCGCCAACTTTGCCTTTACGACCAGCAACTGCTACATCATCTCCACCGGCCGCAGTCATCCAAGAAGAGGATGTACCTCTTCCCCAGTCCCTAGTTCATGGGAATTTGGGACATAACTATTCGGCCCCCTCCGAAGATCCTCAGAGGAGGAAGAATGTTTCCCTCTCTATTTCTACCGAATGCCATCTACTGTCCCCACCGGTGGAATTTGCTAATTATCTAAAGCCTCTGGCTTCAGAAAAGGATAGGAAAAAAATACAATCTCTCTCGGGAGAGTGTATGGTGAACAATGCCATACACAACGCAACGGCAGTACGATCCTTGTTCCCTTTGTTGTTCCTTCTATCTTTATTATGGCAGGATTTTTAATTTGTACTTATGTTTTGCAGGCTAACTTCCTTGCTTCCGAAGGCCTTCAGAGGTTGATCGTTGACAAGGAGAAACTCACCTCCGAGTGGGATCAATTATTGACCGAGCGAGATCAAATTACTGCTCGCCTTCCGGAACTAGAAGCACAAGCCGCTGAGGCCATTGAGTTGGAGGCTCGTTTGCAGCAAAGCGAGCAAGAGGTAGTGACCCTCGGCCAAGAGGCCGCCCTGTTAAGGGTACAATTTGAAGAAGCTAAGGCAACGTGGGTTGAGGTCCAGAATACTGTTCTTGCTGCTGCCGATCGCAGGGCTGTATCTACTGAAAGACTAAATAATTTGGAGGCAGTCATGAACTCCAAAGCTGAAGAAGTTGCTGCTGCTGAGGAGAAGTATACACGGTTGGAAAAGAGGCATGAGAGAGTCATAGAGCATAACAAAGTTTATAACTCCACTATCTGTAACCTTGATGTCACCCTCCAGGCCGCTAGATCTGAGCAGAATAACCTTTCGACCGGGGTTGACTAGCTTAAGGAAGAACTCCAGCGCCGAGCGACTTCTCTCATTGTTGAAAAATCATATTCTATCTATAGCATGAGGAGAAAAACCTTGGAAGAGGCCTAAGCGTCGTTGGCTTTGATGCCAAAATCGCCAAGGCTCGTGAGCTGGAGTCAACTGCCCGAAGGGGTCTCCCAGTTCAACCTGATGCTACTGACTTTTCTGGTTCCGGTTCTGAGTTCTTGGGAACTAAAGAAGAACCTGAAGGGGATGATGTTGAAGGCCAAGATCTTGAGCCGGCGGCGGATCCGCCTACTTCTCCTGTGGGTGCAAATGCTTCTCTTCCTCCGGATTTCGGGGATGTAGTAGCTTAGCCTTTTGCTTTCTTTTCACTTTGTTTCTCTTTTCCATACTTTTGTACTTATGCTGCATGGCACGTTTGTTGTATATAGAAGTATGTTTTTGTTTAAGTATTGCGCAAGTTTTTCTCTTTGCGTAATTTTTGTTTAAGTATTGCCTAAGTTTTTCTTTTTGCGTCGAGTTATGCGAGGCTTCGGGTGCATTTTTTCCCGATAGCATTTGGATGTGCATAAGTTCTTCAGGAATCAACCCTTTGCCGTGAGGGTTTCATAAGAGAGGGCCCTCTTATGTTTACGGTGCTCTTGAAGAGGACGTCTCATGTTCATAAAACTAACATTTGAAGTACTTGTTTAACTTTCAAATGATAAAATTAATTCATCATTCAGACAAGAAACAAGATAAAAATAAAAGGACTTTGCTTTATTCCTTCCATTTTCAAAAGTACATAAGCATTCGTTGTGCTAAAAAGAAATTGCTATTACTTGTGGTTAACTTATACAATTTGTTTCTACAGGGCTGGCCTAGCAGTCCCCGGTCCCGATGATACAATTTTATTCTCGAATTTCATAATCTCGGTCAATGTGGAAATTATGTTGCTGTATTCTCATATCATTCCTCCTAGTGTTCGAATGTGAAGAATGAGAATTGGAACACTGGAAGTCTTGCTCCTTTGAAGATTCCACTAGTGAATGGTTGGATAATCTTTGGTTCGATAGCAAACTTCATTCCCGTTAGGAACTTTGCTATAGAGCCAAAGATTACCTAACCACCCCTAGTGACTTGCACTCATGAACAGTCGAGTAACCTTTGACCCGATAACAATCTTTGTTTCCCGGTAGGAACTTCGCTATCGAGTAAAAGACTATCTAACCGCTCTGTAGTGGCTCGTTGCCTGCGTGCCTTGTCATTTAAAGATCTTATTTCTGACCAACGAAGCTTCCTTCATAGTATGCTTTCTGTTGCTGCCTCATTAAAAACCTTTTGAGGTGTGCCATATTTCAGTTGCTCGACAACTTTATTCTGTCTTGATTTTTCAATTCGTATGACCCTTTTTCCGGTGACAGATGAAACACGGTAGGGGCCTTCCCACGTCGGACCTGGCTTTCCTGCATTGAGCTCCCAGGTGTTTTGAGTTACTTTCCTTAAAACCAAGTCTCCTACTTTGAAATAACAAAGGTTGGCTCTTCGATTGTAATAGCTTTCCATTCTCTATTTTTGGGGTGCCATCCTCATTTGCGCCAAGTCCACACGTTCGTCGAGCAGTTCCAATTTAACCAATAATGCTTCGTTATTTATTTCTTCATCCACCCGGAAGTATCTCGGGGTAGGTTCTCCTACATCCACTGGGATCAAGGCTTCTGCTCCGTATATGAGAGAGAAAGGAGTCTCCCCCGTGCTTGATTTGGCCGTTGTTCGATACGCCCATAATACTCCCGGCAGCTCTTCGGGCCATTTGCCTTTGGCTGCTTCCAATCTCTTTTTGAGATTTTGGATACTCACCTTGTTTGTTGACTCTGATCGACCTTTTGCACTCGGGTGATAAGGTGATTGTGAATTTACACGATTCAAGAGAAGAAACTACCAATTGACAGTAATTTGCATGTGATTTGTAGAGAGAGAAAGTTAGAGAGAAGGGAGAGAGGAATCTGTTTTCATTTTATTATTTCTGTTAGCACTGTTAGAGCACTAACCGTTCCTTTTAACAATCTAACTTTCCTTCCTTTCCTATACTACAATTTTATCCCCTAAGTCTTACTAATTACAGATAGGTCCCTTTCTTCTTAGTAGAGTCTTTTATCACAAAAATTCCCCTCAAGCTGGAGAGTAGAAAACATCCAACACTCCCAGCTTGGACACAAGAATCTAGTGATGTGCAGTACCTAAGGCCTTGGTCATCATGTATGCAACTTAGTCTTTTGTTGAGATGTGTTCTGGTGCAATTAGTCCACCTTTGATCCTTTCCCTCACAAAATGACAATCTATTTCATGTGTTTAGTTCTTTCATGATATATTGGATTGGCAGCAATCTGTAGAGCTGCTTTACTATCACAAAATAACTTCATAGGTATTTGAACTTCAATCCCAAGCTCTTTTATCAACCCTATAAGCCAAACTATTTCAGATACCACAACTATCATGCTCTTGTATTCAGCTTCTGCTCACAGTCTACTATTTTTAGATTTCCATGAGATCAAGGAATCTCCCATCTTTACTATGTACCCTGTAAAAGATCTTCTTGTTTTTGGGCAAGCTGCCCAGTCTGAATCAAAAAAGGTTGTGATTTGTTCCAAAGGTTCCCTTTTCAGCATCACTCCTCTTCCTGGACACCCCTTAATGTATCTTACAACTCTCAATGCTACCTCTAGGTGGGACTATTTTGGATGTTGCATAAATTGACTTAGCATCTGAACAACAAAGCATATGCCTGGTCTAGTTATGGTCAGATATATTCGTTTTCCTATAAGCTTTTGGTATCCAATTATATCATGTAATTCTTCATCTCATGTCACTCCTATATGCTTGTCACAATCTACTGTTGTCAGCTTTTGGTTTTGTTCAAGGGGAGAGCCTGCAGGTTTTGCCCTACTCAATCCAACTTCAGAAATCAGACTAAGTGCATACTTCCTCTGGTTGAGAAGAATTCCCTTTGGTGACCTCATGATCTTTATACCTAGGAAGTATTTTAACTCCCCTAGATCCTTAACTTTGAAGTTCAAATGCAATGTTTCTTTTGCTGCTTGTATCATGGTTTCACAACTCCATGTGATCAGTAAGTCATCAACATATACCAATATAATCACCGCATCTGCACCATTCTTCTCTGTGAAGAGTGAATGGTCATAAGCACCTTGCAAATATCCTGCTTCTGTCAAGGCATCAATTAGCTTAATATTCCATTGCCTAGATTCTTGTTTAAGGCCATAGAGTGATTTTGACAATTTTTAAACTTTGTACTCCCCCTGCCTATGAAAACCTTGGGGCAGATGCATGTAAACTTCCTCATAAAGGTCTCCCTGCAAAAAAGCGTTATTGACATCCATTTGAAAGAGATGCCAATTCTTTGAGGCTGCCAGACTAATTACAGTTCTGACTGTTATCATTTTTGCCACTGGTGAGAAGGTCTCATGGTAATCTAGACCTTCTTGTTATGTGTAGCCCTTAGCTACAAGTCTTGCTTTAAACCTTTCTATCTCTTCATTTGCCTTGTATTTGATTTTGTACACCCACTTAGAGCTATTAGCTTTCTTACCACAGGGTAAGTCTACTATTTCCCAAGTGTTGTTATATTCTAGGGCCTTGATCTCATTCTGCATAGCTTCAACCCACCTAGTATCTTGTGAAGCTTCTGAAAAAGAAACTGGTTCTACTTCTGCTGAAAAAGCTGTTAGATAGGCTTGGTAATGAGTTGGAAAATGAACATGACACATATTGGGAGATGGAATAAGAGCTATGTCTGATGGTTTCCCAGTAGTAACATAATTCTTTAGCCAGATAGCAGGTTTGACCCCCCTACCTGATCTCCTAAGTGCAGCTGGTGGTGTAGTTTGAGTCATATAAGGCTCTGCACCTGGTGCTATTTTATGCAGCTGATCATTGAGTTGTGTTACTAAGGGAACTGCAATAGATTCTGGCAGTGCATGATGCATTTGGTAATGTGTCTCATGTTGTGTCATCTCCCTTGAGTCTAGGGATAGGCATTCGGTACTTCGGTTCGGTATTTAAGAACTTCAGTTCGGTATTTCGGTATTCGATATTCGGTTTATCAATTGTGTGTACCAAATACCGTACCAAAGTAGTTCGGTACGGTTCGATATTTCTTATTTTGTTTTGGTACGGTTTATGTACGGTTTCGGTTTGATACATTAACGAAATCGTATTTTTAAAAGGAAATGTTTTACAAACATAAATAGATATTTTAAATGGAGAGTGGGCAATGGACACGCTGTGCTAAGCTAGCAGGCTGTATAAATCATTTCACAGATGAGTATTGTGTGTGAAATATGTGGAACCAAGCAATTGAAGAAGAATATTAAGCAACACTTTATTTAATATAAGGCATTGCTGCATTTTCTTTTATGTAAATAAAGTTCCTTTTTCAATTCTCATCATCCATAACTTAAACAATTTTGTCCATAATGATAACATGTGAAGTAAGCCTTAGGAAATACACTTTATCTAAGCAAGAAGGCCAAAAAGTTTGATAAGGAACCATGAGCAACCAGTACAATTGCAATTGCAAGTTTGCAACAATAAGCCAGCAGTAGAATTCATTAAAAGGAAATCATTTTAAATTTCTAACGAGCAGCATGCCAGCATCTAACGAGCAACATAATTCAAGTTTACACAGGGAATTAGGGAACTTGGGGTGTTGGGCTTAGGCTTATTGGGCTGAAAATNCTTTGTCTAAAGAAATGCGTTGAGAAAGGGCAGATGTATAGAACCTTTCAACGAGATAGTGCTTTTTCAACTCTCTCAAAATGGAATCTATTCCAAACATATATGCCATGGTTCCTTACTTCGACAGGGTACAAATATCTAAATTTGATATTTTTAGATACTTTTTCAGACCTATTGCCAATACTAAGTAGCAGTCAAAAATTTGTATCCATTTTTCATGATATTATGCATGGATCAGGTATATCATGGCGAATTCTTCAGAAAAAATGCCGCCCCAGTCACTAAACCTAGCTCACCAAGCCTTAGGAGTGCTCCGCCGTGGGCTTGGCTTGTAGCGACTGAATCTTGTTTCCGATAGAGCACCATTGATTGGTCTATTGGCAAAGGAAACCCGGGAATTCAAGATTTTGTTCTGTCCTCCGGACATTTATTATGCTGTNTAAATGGAATGGCTCTCTTAGTTACGCTGCGCCCCGACCCGAGTCCCCACGTCCGCTTTTCTCCGCCCGCAACCCAATAAGTTGGCAAAGCCAACACAAGATTAGGGCCGTCCCCTTCATTCTATGCTGACCCCGGCCCGGGCTGGCTTCTTGGGAAGCCCGTTCCCACCGCGCTC